TCTGGCAGCTGGCAACACACGCATTCCGATAGCAAAAAGTTAGAGCAGCAGCGTCCCTTGGGATCGTTCTGTATAAGAATAGGGGTGAATAATAATATCTCGACAAACCCCAAACATCCCCAAACCAAACAACCTTGCATGCCCTCACAGAGCACACAAGCTCTTTCACCCTCAAAGAAGCAACTGTTCATATGAATGACTTGTGAGTCCCGCCAAGTTTCACATACGCAGCATTGTTGGGAATGTCTGCGTCGTTGTCGTTCTCAGAGTCTGAATCTGCCTGCCACACTGGAGTTAAGATTGAGCTCAGTCCTTCAGGGCCTTTCAAGAACTCAGATCTTGGGACTTTGCAAACGGGATGCCAGCAACGCTTCTTGCATCGCGTTCAGCTCCCTGAGGTCCTCAGAGCAGCAGGCGGGCAGCACATAACAGCAGCATGCGCCAGATGCTGTTCCCCAACCCGGGAAACCCTTAAGGCAAAGACCCAAGGTGTGAATGGTTTCTCATGACATGCCCACATGCTGCCATGTGCTGCAGGGGTGCAAACTTGAACTCTTCTTCACGCTGCACCTTGCGAGCATGAGCATGATTGCACGTAATTGAACGATCGTGATGGGGAACCCGCTCTGCCACTACTACTTACTTAGATGATCTTGGGAAGGAGTTACGATTGAACGTCCGATTGCCCGCCCCTGGACCTCCCATTCTGACCCTGTTTGCTGAGTACTTCATCCTACTTGCATCAGGCTGGCTGCTAAAATGAATCACACCTTCCATCTCTTTTAGTTGAGGGTAGATTTGGCCACGCCCAGCATTTCTGTCCTGTATCTCCTAGATTGCAAGTTGCAGCACTATGCTGGCAGGAAAGTATCAGGGCATCCAAGCCACGCAATGTTGCGCATAGCGGTCTAAGTTTGTTCCTTGAAGGTTCTGGGCGAACTTAAGCTCAAACCATCCGTCGATCTCCTGCACGTTTCTTGGGCTGGTTCTCACTGTGCGAACAAGGGTGTCAGTGTCTCTCGCGCAAGTAGGCCAACCTAGGAAGTAGCTGTCGCACCACTGCCTACACACTGCTCCGTAAATCTCCTTTTCAAAGGGGATGTCAGCAACGCAGAACTCCACGAAGCCAAGAGGTTCGACTGCAGAGGTTTGGTCAGAGCTATCGGAGTCATACCTCAGCTAAGGTACTTAATTCTCATTGGCCATAGCGACCTGACAAACATCATGCGTTGCATAAAGCTTGACTTCAAAGGAACACGTGAACTCTGATCATGGAGCGGTCGGCAACGATGTCAAACAGCTGCCAGTCCTTTCAGCCACAGCATGCTTCAAAGCCCGCAGTGTCCTGCTTCTGTAGATTTGATGTGCTAGTACGGGATCTAGGGCGTGATCCTTATCGGTGCCATGTATAAGCTACATATACCCCTAGTTTCCATTTTAAGTCTCCACTATTGGTGCAACAAGCCCTGTATATCCTTGTGGGTCCCACTGTAACACTCTACATATAGATATATACATTTATACACATATGTGTAGTTTCCATTTCAATTTGTATTTGATGTTCCGTTTGGTTCTCCATGATTGGGGTAAGACAATAACTGCATAATTGGAGGGTCAGCGGGATGATGACGCTCTGACTACGGTTCATATCGTTAGTGGCATCGCTCATGACTACCTACTCATACTCCTCCTTCTCAAGGTTTTTGCCGGTGTCTGTCCTGCCATTTCGGTCTGCGGCTGTTGTAGATGCACCGCGAATTGTAGTGCAGGCAGTCATCCACCTTGAGGGCTGACTTTGGCATCTTCGAAACAGAATTTGATTGTGAAAGGACGGCTCCTTTCTTTGCAGCGAGCTGTCAAGCACACCATTCTCAGCTCACCAGCAGGTACTTCGGAGCGGGTAAAAGGGCACGCGCGAGCAGAGCTGTTACAGCAAATCCACGTGACCAAAAGCTCAGAGGCTCACGTAAACGCGAACGAAGGCGTCTGGTTCATCTCCAAAGTGTTTCCTGAATGGCTCAGAAGTGAGGAGCACAGGTCACGCGGTGACAGTCCGACAGGGTGCATTAAGCATGAGTGGCCAGAGACTGACACACTGCTGGAAACTGTTCATGTCTGTGAGTTCGTCCCACAAAAAGCAATAGCAACAATGCTACTACAACTACTAATAGTAATAACCAAAGTAATAATACAGACATTATTCATAGCAATAACGGTAGCAATAGTAGTAATGGTAATAGTAATAATAAGAATGATCGTAAGAAAACCATGCTAACCAATAGAATAACGCTATAGTAGCCATTGCGCACTGACAACCATCAAAGATTGTGTGGTCCACAGGACCCATCTGACACGGGCATCAGGCGGATCTATGCATAGTGCAGCGAACTGCAGCTTGCGACTCAAAATTGGCGAGCAGGCTCACACCGCACAATTCAAATAATGGACTCCCAGAATTGGACCCTAAGCTTTGAGAACTACACGACATAGCCAGCTGTGTTGGCAGTTGGGAACCCTGGGTGCTACTCACAACTATTAAGCTGCTAGTCTTTCAACCTGCAGTGCAAAGGAGCCCACTGTTGCATAATTCAGTGGGCATTGACTTTTTCCAAGCCACCTGAAGTACCTATAAGTCCATTGCCAGGCTAGGGGCTGGACGATGCCCGACACAGCCGGGATCAGCCGCCTTGCCTCCACCATCTCCAGTTCCAGCTGAGCGAAGGGGCCCAGGGTGTAGTACCTGAGGCATTTGGCGCTTTTAACAAGCTTTGAGGATGCGACGATTGTGCTTGGATGTTGCCTTGGATGTGCGCCTTCAACTGTTGAATTCTTAGCCTCTTAGCATAGCTCAAGCGAACAAGGACTGGCATAGGCCATCAGCTTCGTTGGTTCTCAGATCCGCAGGTTCAGGCTGCATCGATTTGTTGCTGTTTTACAACACGTGCGGGCCAGGCAGTAAAATGTCATGCCGGCATCTAGTAATGGCGGCTCAGGAAAGGTCTGGTAAACAATCAATCTTGAGACTCACCCCTTCAACCTTCACTGCTGTTTGGGGACAACAGCTAGGTACCTGTGCCGGCTGCTTTTGAAAATGGACGCCGTTTGGCTGTCATCTTAGCAGACCTGCAGCACACGTGGTCCTCCACCGTCTTTAGCTGTGGGATACCATTCGTACCACCTGCGTAAAGAACCACTGCTTGCAATCAAGGGCACGCACGGTCTGGTGTCTCAAGACACCGCCAATGATTATACACCTTTCGGACAATCGAATACGGGATCATGATGCGCGCAGCTTTGATCCTACTGGGCGAAAAGCTGTCCATTGCACGAACGCTGGCCCGGCCCTTGTGCTGCCAGCAATCTGCCGGCATCTTACCTGGCTGCTTGCCGCCGAGCAACAAAATCTTCTCCGTTGGCTATCTTGTCCTCGAATGATTTGTATACAAAGCGTCGAGTCTAGACTGCTAGAAACCTCCGGCTAACAAGCTGAGTCAAGCTCAAGTGGGCAGTTGCTTGGACATACTAATATCAATTTGGAACCAACTGCAAGGCTGAGCCCGCAAAGTGGCTCCAAAGCTTCTGAATGCAGCAGCGTCGCAATGATTCGCTGTGTCTCCTTCTTGCCAGAGCTGGCTTTGATGCGCTGAGCTGCCTCAGCACAAGTTTCGGAACATCTCTCATGAAAGATAAGGGTCTGCTTAGTGATGAAGCTGCGTGCAATGATGTGGCCGTGTCTGCACGCTGCCCTGCCTCCACGAGCACCGACTTCTTCTGTCTTCTGCCGACCTGCATACCAGAGTCATCACAAATTACAAGCTGATCTTGTGCTTGACTCACTTTGCAGGTTGCCTACTTAGTCACGGACTACCGGGACACGTGCGGTGCCTCGAGATCATGATCGCGCATCAAATGCTCAAGCTCCTGAGTTGACTGTGCAGCAATTTGTCTTGTCAAGGAAGGAAGCCAAGGCGCGAGGCGGGCTGTGACGAGCGCTGAAGTCGATGGGGAATTCAGCCCCACGTAATTGAACGGTTGATGAGAGCACGTGAGAAAGAAAACAAAAATAAGAATGATGGCATCATGTCAATGACACCTGTAACATTATTGGCCGTTATGCTGACAATCAATCAAGATCCTGTACCCCACTAGGTGAGCGATGGTAGCCATTAGCTAGCTGCAAGCTCTTGAGCATGAAACCCCTCTATTTGCAGCAGCGCTCCGACATTGAACTGTTCCTGTCGACAGGGCAAGCTCTGAAAGCAAGGAAAGACCTGACATTGACAGTAGGGCAGTTAACATGCGCAGCAGCTTCACTCATTGCCACCAGGAAAACTTCGCCCTGTCCATCTTTGATCTAGAATACATACACGTCCGATTGCCGTTGTTCCTCTTGTCGTGGAGTGGTGAATGGCTGTGAGAAGTCAGTAAGCCTCAGAAAGCCAGGCCTGGCCTGCTCTCCCTGTCATCCTGTCACAGTCAGGTCAAGGATGATACGCTTACCGCTCCGGAGGCATCACTAAGACACGCAATTTGCAGCGCCCAGCAGCAGCAAATCTGTGCTGAAGCACTTCTTTGGATGCTGTGCCTTCTTATCCAGATTCCGGATGACAGAGCTGAAGCAGCCCATGGCTGCAACAGGGAAGGGTATCCACGATAAAGGACGACTGTCAATTCCTCCCTCTGCTTCATTACCGGTGCCAGACAGCCAGGACCAAGCTAAGTTGTTTGTGCTTTGCTCATGCTGTTCACATGCTCAGGTGATCTCAAGGATCAACGTGCTAGGAGGTGCGGTGCTGGTTTGTTTTTTGCTGGAGCCAACGCCACCCACCCTTCTTGGGCGAATAGCGTCTTTGCGGCATATGCGTGGTGGCAACAAGCCTCTCGTAAATGTAAGGTCAGAACGCACCTGATTGAGAGAGGGAACGTTGGTAGATGTTGCTGCTGTTGGAGTTTGCGGTCACTTCTGTTCTGTGAATCCTCGACGAAGCTGAGGGCCCAACACCAGGCCAGGTGCGAATACGCAGTCGGCCTCTGCATGCATTTCTGTCGGCTACACGATCCCCCTCCCGAAGAGTGAATACTGCTTGATCCTTCCAACAACTTGCTTCTCAGTTTTGTTGCAGGTGACCAGACCGATAGCAACACATAGCAACCCACCACCATTCAGCAACCAGTAGGAGGAAATGAGGCACTGATTAGTTTTTGAGTCATTGTGAAAAACGTGGAGTTTTGGAAGGGTGAAGCTTGGCAGTTGCGCTGTACTTTTGTTTCAGTTCTGATTCAATTCCAGGGTCCTGATTCTTTCGGAAGCCTGGTGCTGGGGACTTATATTATGGCAGGAAATCCCAACATCCACGTGTTCAAATGTACGGTTCTGAGCCTCTCCCGCCAGCAGCCGTACTGGCCTGGATCGGTTCACCTGGCGTCTGGGTGATTCTTTGGTGGACGGACATGGTTCTTTCCAGGCCGAAGCATGCAAAAAACAGCATGCGCGTTAAGTTGATTCAGTTGCATGTGAATGATAGCTTCCAACATCTTCCAATGATACTCACGATGTTTTGGTTAAACTTAAACCCCCCGCCATGCAGCCAAGCATCGGTAGGTCGAGCCACTGCCAACAGCGGGTCGCCTATGCCCAAAAAACGCACTTGAAAAGATTGCTCTGCCACAAACCATTCAATTCTGTACCCCACAAGGCATGAGAAATTCCCATCTCTCGTGACGTCTTGGCATTGGCAGTGTTAGAATCTGAGCCCAGGCACGGTCCCGCGGCGTGTGGGGCGCTGTGGGCGCATGGCACACAGAGCCAACCCAGCCACCCAAGCGGATGCGTGAACGAAGGAACCTGGCAGTCGGCAACCCTGCTGCATTATGCTGCAGCACATGTTTGCGCAGAAGTGTATCATCCAGCGCACCGGAGCATGGATTGTCCGCCGCCTTGCGACATGCCTGAGGTCGGCTAAGGCCACACGATAGCTTGCATAGTACCCAAACCTGCTTGATACTCGGCGGCTTGCGCTTGAAACTCAAGAGCAGGCTTCTTGCCAAGTGGCCCATGAGCACAATGCGCTCACTTTGACCATTCAATAAGGCTGCCTGACCAGCGCTGCAGCACTCCAGGTCACACGTTCCAGTTCATTGCCACTACGCAGAGACCTTTTCTGCTCGTCTTGCAAGCGGAGGCTGCCCTAATCCAGCTTCGCTTCAGACTCACAGCATCTTCATTGGCCGGATGCTGGAGAGCCTGGTATAAGGACATGATGCAGGCGACTCAGGCAGCATGGCTTGGCCATGCCTGGCACCATGGATAAGTACGCTGAGTGGCGGACATGAATGATCCCACAAGAAACACCTGGTAGCCAGCAGCGTGGGACGTTTTGATGGGCTCAATCCTGAGAGCAACCGTTGCTACAATTCAGCATCGCTTCAATCAAGGTGGAAGTGGCACTAGGTCGTTGCAAGCACCTCTACCTAGCAGTCAGAAACTTGAAGAGCGAGGACCAAGAGTTCAAAAGCACTGTATCGGTTGCTTCTAGTATTAAGTGGGTAGACCATGGATCTTCCCAGACTCCTAGACAGCACCAGGGCAGCCAAACTCAGAGGTCCTCCACATGGCATCGCATGTCCTTGGAAAGAGGTGATTGAAAGAAATCGTGTGAAGCTGGAGTGGAGCATGGCGCGACCCCCTCCCCCCCATATGAAGCAGGATGGCTGAGATGGATGTTATGCCAATTCCGAGCTCCGACAGGAGAATCTGCAAGCAAACCACCTTAGCGAGAAAACTAGGCGTCTCCACATCCACACGTGAAGACCGAACAGTTCGTATGAGGGGCTTGAAATCTGTATCGCTGCTTGTGTGCCATCTGCGCGAGATTTGCTGATCACCCACAAAGGGAGCTAAGGAATACACGCTCTCTGCTTTCTTTTCCTGCCAGTGCTCGCAACTCAGTCCCCAGTATGGGTCTCCCAGCGACGTGCAAGCTCGCAACTTCTGGCATCGCCGTGAATCCTTTGCCCACACTTGATGTATGCTTGGTCGCAGCTGCAACGCAGTGCAGGCATACTTCCCTAGGTACTGCACAAACAATGCTAGATTAGTAAATGCGTTCCATAGGCAGGAAAGTGCTGGACGCCCTTGGAATGGAAGCTGGTGAGGCAGTCTATACAGGTCCCATCTATGCCGGTCTTGCGCCAAATGCGCGCTGGGCAAACGTGGGAAGAGCCCTCATTCTTTCCAGTTAATTATTTCCACAAGAAAGTCAGTAAACGCTGACACGTTGGTCTTCTTCGCCATGAGCGCCACAGGTGCATCCTGCAGTTTCTGCAGGCTCTCCAGTTTCATTTTGCAGCCCTACCACAACATGCCTTGAACAGCCTGCAACCATTGAATCCTTAGCTTGTTACTTTTTTGTCTGGCAAGAGCCTCAGCCCGCTCGGTTCGGCCCTGCGCACGCCCTTCAGGCACTCCCCGCAAGCGAAGCTCCTGCAGCTTCAGCTACATCCTTTGCATTTGAAGTTAACGGCTTCCCCACTGAAATAGCTGAAGGATACTCGTCCGTTGGGCCTACTCACTAGGCGCAAAACTTGGGCTTCCCAGCCACAAAGCTCTCTATCGTGCTGCTTGGCACTTTTGGCGCCTCCCAGCTGCAAAGCTCCGGGCGAAGGTACAACCCGACCTGCAGCACGAATCAGGACATCAAATCGACCGATAGTTGCCGTTAGTTGGTCTATGAGGACGAGGAGCTGTCTTTCCTAGTCATCAGGGGTGGGGAGCCATGGTTCCTACTGAAGCAGCAGAGCGGATCGCCCTATCCGAAGCCGAAAATACACATTTGCAAGCACGATCTCAACGCACATTACAGTGATAGGTTATCCTTTTATTGTAGCAGGCCCTTACTGCATCTCTACCAGGCTGATTGCGGCCAGGGGTGCTGTCAACGTGTCCCACATGTAGTACACAGCGTTGCTCTTCTGAAACTTGGATTGCGCCCAAATTTGCCGTGCTGTACGGGCCACAGGCAGAGTCGGGTCCAGGCGCTGTATGAAGTCCTTCGTGACGGGCACGTCGTCCGTTGCATCCAGGGGAACGAGTCTCAGGTCAAGACCCAGCCTCAGCAGCTCTGCTGTGGCTGCTGGGTCCCAGAACGCGTTCCACTCGGCTGTTCCATCACTATGCTGGGGTCGCTTGTCATCATCATCGCGAACATTTCCGTTCACATCCACAGCTCCCCCCATCCAGAACACCGTGCCGACTTTAGACACCAGCTCCGGATGTAACCTGAGAGCCCAAGCCAGGTTTGTTGCAGGCCCTGTGATGATGAAGTCGGTCTTGTTATCCCCGGTGTCCAGTAGATAAGTTGCCAGCCATTCATGTGCGGCGACACGTGGAAGAGAATGGCTTGAAGTGCCCGGGGTGTGCAAATAAATGTCTGCAACTTGTTGCATTTCTGATGCTAGCTCACGCCACACTCGAGGAAACTCATTGAAGTGTTTCGGGAAATCTCCTGCAATGACCGGCGCAACATGGCCGAACATAGAGAGCACAGTGGAAGAGACATCAAGTGCGGGCTCCAGCTCACAATCTGCAGGCGTCACCAGGACAGCTTTCAAGCTCAGGAAGGAGCGGACATTGAGCAACACCAACAGGACCAGAATGTCGTCATAGTTTCCGTCGTGGTCCAAAATCACCGGCGCGGCGTTCTCCCTCGAAAGCAGGGCATGTTTCTTTACGCTGCTGAGGTCAGAGCATTTGCCTCTGTATTCTGCAAAAGCAGAGGCGAGAGCTGCAGCTCCGAGGAGAATCAGCAATGCCCGCATGGCGAAGCGCTGCAAGCTTCCCGGCTCCAGGCCCTCTACCGCAGGATCCGGGGGTGGCTGCGGAATATGTTATCTCATCCCCTTCGCTAATCGGAATTGGCTTGTCGCGCACATGCTCCACAACTGGCTTCAGCTAATTGCAACTTTGCGGCTGGTAGAAGCATTGCCTTGGCTGCCAGAGGTTCTGTGCTATCAGCTAGTCACACTCAGTTGTACTGGAGAACACATCACGGCTGAGCCGCCACAATCATGTTCTGGTGCGGGTCCATGCCTTGAATCGCACTCAGATTCTAAGAAGCAGCGCTCGGTTCTAGTATGTTGCATAGGGCAGTCTTGCGGTCTTGCGGGTCTTCCCTGGTTGATTCTCACCCCGCTGCTCTAGCTGGCACCTGATGGGCGCCTTCATTGTAACAATGACCGCAGGCAAAGGACTTTGCCGATTTGGCCGTCTGGCTCCGCTCAATAAACAAGGGTCGCATAAGCTCCGGGCTGGTAAACACACGCGAAAGCAAACCACCGGCAAATACACCAGACCTGAGTAGGCATGATTGATTTTACAAATGCCGTGGCGTTGCAGGCCCAAAATGTACGCCAAACATGCATGTTTGGTCAGTATCCAAATCAGCCTACATGCAGTGAAGCCGCTGAATGGCCAGGTGCGCGAAGAACATCACTGACTCGCTCCTGAACTGTTTTCGCTTTAGCCGATGCATCCAAGCGCAGAATGAGCAATGCCAGGTGGTCACCCCAGGGCTCTGGTTTCTGAGGAACCCCATTAGATCTGGTAGTTTCCCAATATCGGGGGTACCCTTTCGAGGGTCTCTATAATAAGGACTGTAGTATTTTGGGGTCTATATTGGAGTCTCCTCATTTTGGGAAACTACCATCTCCTGCAGGGTGCCAGACGTGCATAACTACAGCAGTTGTGGGCAATGCAATGCTCGCCAGTGCTCCCCGGACCAAACTTCGTGGCCCATGAACTCAGAGGAGCAGATGTAAGGCAATTGCCTCAGCTACCATAGCCATGGCATGCAACGTCGGGCATCTGAGAAACTGTTTTGCACAACGTCAATGGATCTCACGTTGCCATTGCAGTGAGCAATGATGAAGACCGTTCTTCTGCTGGACATCTCCCTGAACGATGCACTCTGTCACGAAGGCATTGGCCCCTGTGCCATGAAGCTTCGCCTCTTCTTCTCTCAGTTATGCTTTGAGAGCTGGCAGCGTCCGAGTGGCCTGTATAGAAAAGCGCTGACCCAAACCTTGTCAGCACCAAGGTGTGCAACTACGTGCGCATGGACGTTGTTTTCAGCTATGTTTGCGCAGCTGTTCTCCATGACCATGCTTCATCTGTATCTGAACTGAAAGCGTGTAAAGACTCTTCAGCTTGCAGCCAGGGCGCAAAAACTGGGCAAGACCTTCATCACAGCAGGCTTGCAGTACTGGTGCCGCCGTCATGCACTGCGCAGTGCTTGGCATGCCCTAGGTCACTAGGTGCAGGCAGGGCTCGGAGGAAAGCACTCGCTCCAATGACGTCCTCCATGAGGGTAGTTTCCACGTCCGAAGGGACTCTAAACATAAGGACCTCATCTCAAAGCAGCACCCTGCACGTTCCTGGCAGCCGGACTCTTAACTGCATGGAAAGCGCAGCAGTTGTCTGACATCATGCCTGCTTCATTCAATCAACTTGGTTTTATCGTAGCCGTTTTAGACTTGCAGGATGAGGGCTTCGAAGCAAGGATTGCAGGCAATGTTGGCAGCTGGATGACAAAACTCAGGCTGCGTGCTGTCTTTCAATCTGATCGGTGCCAAGACACCAGGCCAATGAGCTCGAGAAATTCGCATGCACGGATTAGCGTGTGATCGCTGAACTTCTCACAATACATGACCTTGCGCAAACCCATCTTGACACGAGTCAGGTGGAGTCCGGAATAATCTGATCTTCTCTGACAAGGCACAAATATGCTCTGCCCCGCCATGTACAAGACAAAGGTAAGGGTAATGCCTTAGCTCCAACATCGGCACTCCCTTCACTTGCTCTCATGTCTGGGTGGGATAACGAGAACTCACTCTTGCTTCACGTTGAATACAAACAGTTTGCTTCTCCGAAAGCTTTCTGGCTGAGCTTCCGTACCCAGAGATCTTGTGCCCAAGGCAGAAGTGCGTCGCCAAAACAATCCTTACGGGCCCAGCTTGTCATGATCACGTCTGCGACTGCTTCAATTTGGATCCGTAAGATATAGGTGGCACATAATTAAATTATCTTCCTTCGCACATGC